TCGGAGTTTCTGTACCTATATTTGCCCAGAGCATTCTTTCTTGTTGCATTTACATCATTTGCTACTTCACATCCTTGTTTATATATTTACTGATCAGCTCAGGTGGCCAAGCAATTACAATAACAGGCAAACTTGTAGTATGCAGTAAATACTGTATCATGAGGTACAGAGTATTGCCACATAGGTTCAGATATCCAGTAAACTCAGAAAGAAGACTTCATTGGCCTCAACACATTTTTCACTTAATCGTTACTAGACCTTTTTTGGGAAGGCAAAGCACATGATTAAAATTTAAGTGACATATGTGACTGGTGTGGACAAGCAACATTTCTCACAGATATTGAAGGTTTTACATTGCTATGTATTTTTGATCTTGAACCACAAAACACAAAGTAGTTGCTGATAACATCTACTTTTGCTCAGGTGAATGAATATTGAAGCTTTTGTTTCACTGACTTCCATGTTGTGTTAATGCTGAAGAAAATGTAATATTTTTAAGCAGCACAAGAACCTTGTAAGAGAAAAACATTTGGCAACAATGTGCTTTTTACAGTCATGGTCTCTTATAGTTGTCATGCCTGAGCTTGGGAGTGAGACCAAGAACTTTTGCTTTTCTGGACTTTCTGTGTGGCCTTGGAGAAGTCACTTGACCTCTTTGTAGGGAGGATTCAAGTACATCTGGAGCTTTCTTGAACTTATGTCCTTGTAATCATCTATCTATCTGCCTCAGTCCATATTTGTCAAGATGGAGTGGAGGGAATGGGAAGGGTCATAACAATCTCCACTATCTTAACGCCTTACGTACTCCCAGGCCTCCTAAAATTATCACTCAAATTCTTTCTGGCAAAAGACAGACTCCTGGATTCCTTCTTCTCTGGCAAATGCTTTCATCCCTTGGGTATATAGCTGCTGGAGCAATGGGAGTACTTGTTTTCAGCACTGAAAACAGCAATGTTTCTGTACTTTGGTGTGTACTCACCGAGATTTTGGGCTGTTCTTTACTTATATCTGGATCCCCAAAAAAGCTCTTGGTGTGATGGAATAACTTCTTATTAACAGACACCTCAAGTTAATTATCAAGGAGGTGTCTAGTGGATTTATGTGTCTACAAGTCAGTGCTAGAAAAAAGATGGCCCAGATATCTGTCTGGAACTTTTTTGCATAATTGCATGAGTTACTAACCTTGCTAAACTGGGGTTGCTTTAGATGAGATTAAGGTAGCCTGGGTAGTACTCATGACTTTTAGTTTGCTCTTGTCACTCACAAATGGTACAGAGGAAGCTTTTAGCTGAGAAATCAAATTAAATGGTGCATAAATTTTTGGTGGAGGATGCTAAGGTACAGTTTTAATATTTTAGGAAAGGTTACCAAGGCAGCAGATGGAGAAGGTGCACTGTTTAAAGAGAAAGGACATGAAAATAAAACTTGACAATCTAGGTAATTTAATTAATGAAATAACAATAATAAATACTCTTGAACTGAGGTTGGATCAGGTGTGTGAAAATCCTCCTTAGACTGCTCAATTTTTGATGAGATATTACCATAGTGAGAGCAAAATGTCTCCTTTCCTGTGAGTTGGCTAAGCAGAAGAGAGTCAGTACTCTAGCTGAAATAGCCATTAATGGGAAAATTATGTCTTGAACCTCCAACGCATTTGAAAAGTGAGAGAACATTTCTTTCTTGTTGACAGACTGGAAGTCAATTGAGAATTAAATGCATAGAAAAAAAGACTAATGTCCTGAACCTGCACATTTTGTTATGCAAGTAGACTACTTCTTTGAAGCTGGCCTCTGTTAAAATCCCTCACTTTCCTGAGGACAGGCAGTTGAGAGCTTGCACATCAAGTTCTTTCATCCCATGTTCTTTCTCTCTGCATCCCAACCTAAGTTCAGAGCAGTCTCTTGCACTCTGATCTGTTGGTCTTTCCCCTGGGACAAAGATTCTTTAATTTCTTGAAAGATGTAGCATCTTCCTCACATTCCCCACCTTACCTGATAATCCAGAAGACATTTTTTCAGAAGTGCATTTTTCTGCACTTCTCTGAAATGCCCAGGTTTCTAATCATCTTGGAAACCAAGGAATGATTAAAGACCCAGTTTGTTCCTTGACCTTTTAATTTGCTCCAGTCAATTTTTTTCCCCTGTATTTTGCCTGCAAACTCACTGGTTACGTTCTTGCTTGTGCTACCTTGACCTTTTTTCATCCAGCTGCTTTATATTCCCAGGAATCTCATTCCTGACCTTCCTGCAGCAGCAGAGCTACTGTTGCCAGCCTTGCCAGGGAACTTCTGCCTTGCTCACCTTTTCCTAACTCGTCTGTTCCTAACCAGCTCTATATTTGATTATAAACTGATAATGTGATTATTTCTACTTGATTTTCAACTTGTTTGAGGCTCTCTTTTAACTCTGTCTGCTTCTTCACTTTATTCCTCACAACCTGTCAGGATGAATCAGAGAACCACAGGAATCCACTCAGCAGAGGAACTTAAGAAAAGAGGAATCTGAGGGAGGTACTGAGAGATACTGGCAGTGACTGAAGGAAGAAGGAGCCAAAGTCTTTTCCACTCATACTTGCTCCACCCATGTGAGCTGCCCTCCACACTCTTCTCCCTCAGTGCACTACACTTGGCTGTCCCATCATCTCCCTGTCACCTCTACAGTCTCTTCTCGCAACATGCTTGAACCATGAGGATTATCAGGCCTACTTGAAAGCCCTGGAGACATGTTTAGAGACAAAACAGAAATTAACTACTCCATGGATATTCACATAGCACCTGAAATAGTTACCTATTGCACTTCCAGGTGAAGCTGGGGAAAGACTGGCATTTCAAGTGCATGTGTATTCTGGATGCCTTTGCCATCCATCTCTCCCATAGTGCCCTATAGCGTCTTTATCACAAGGTGTGCAGAGAAAAATCTGATTTATGTATATGGACATGGAACTCCTACTGAAAGTAAATCTGTGTAGGTTCTAAGGTGAAAAAAGGACAAAACAAAGAAGCTGAAACATGTATTTATAGGAAAAAAAAAAAACAACAAACCCAAAAAACCTGTCTTAAGAAGTAAGAGAAAGAAAATAAAGGACAAAAAATTGTGACCTCTGAGTTCTAGGGAAGGCCTGGCTATTCAGAGCATAGGTTGAAAACATTCCCATCATTCCAGCTAGATATTAAAAAAAATTAAACATATATCTGAAAGACTGGTTACTTTAAAACTTCGCCCTGATGTTTCTATAGTTCTTTCAAGATTAAAAGAAACAGCAGCATAATGAAATAGAGTATACATTGCAACTAAAAGGAGGGAATAAAGCTAGCAGCAGTTTTACAGTGTTCTGATAATTAGTAAAAGATCACAAGCTTATTGTACAAGCCTGGTCCATGCTGCTGCGCACAGACCTCATCTTTGTGAGATGTCCAGTCAGATCAAAAGCTTCTTTGTGGACCCAGGAAATGCATATGAAGGGATGGGCAATATCTGGTAGTAAAGGGACAGGCTAGACTTCTTGCCAATATCCATACATTTACATTAATATCTTATCATCATAACTAGGTCATTTGACAGTGAGGTTTTCCATATATTTCTTACTAACATGAAGTCTAGGCGCACATTTCCTGGGGCAATGGAAGATTAGCTTCCTCAGTACTGCAGGCTGATGCAGATGCTCCCATACGATACGGTGTGGCCACAATCACTTCAAACTCGGGCTGCATCTGCACTTGGCAAGGCCCTAGAAGCAGTTTAAAAGAGATGCAGGTCAACCATCAAATGAATGTTTCTTATGATTCCCTAACCCAGTATCAGATACGTAGGTATGGCTCAGTTCCAATCACTAGGTTTTACTGATGCATCTTTCCCGTTTCATTATATCAGCAGAGTCCTCCAGGGCATATCTGTACGGTAGTTTAAGGTGCACGCGCAGCAAGCATAGGCAATGCCTGCTCCAGCGTTAAACTAGCTGTTCATGTTCAGCATATTCAATTAACATGCTCATACTACACAAAACACAGGAGCACAGGACAGAGCTTTCTGAACTCCTGTCAGCTTTCACTGGGACAGCCACAGTGTGTCACGCGGAACCATCCAGAAATGCTAGGTTAGCTCAGCTCACAAATCAGTGTAGTTTCTCCAGAGCTGTGTTAAACCTGAATCTCTAACTTCTCCCTCTTAGCAGAGCTGTTAAGTTTGTGTGGAGGTGTTCCAGAATCAACTAGAAGAGTCCCGAGCAACCTGATCTAATTAAGCCTGCTTTGAGCAGAGTGTTTGACTAGATGACCTCCAGAGGTCCCTTCCAAGCTAAATTATTCTGTGAGTTGATGCTGATGCACCTATATTGCATCCAGTTCTAGTATTAGTGTCACCTCTATACTATGCTTCATGAAAAAACACTAAGACTGCCCTTAAATTAAAAAAAAAAAGTTGCATGGGTGTATTGTGGGCTAGCTGGCTAAATGCCTAAGGGAGCCAGTGCACTTTGCGTTGTGGTCCATGCTGTTTCTGAGACAGCTACAGCAAAGCTAACTTCATTATGTACCCATGCTGCAATATTACTTCCAGGTATGCAGTGTATATGGTCTGAGTTATTCTCTGATACCCAGAGAAATGAGAAAACTTCAAGTTCTTGGTTTAAGTAAGAAATAATGAGTATTTTATCCTGATGTGTGAAGAAAGCATCTCATTTGCCAGACTGATGAAAGCAGCACAGTATTTCCAGAGTTAGAACTTACTAGATTCTTCTGCTAATGCTTCGATAAATAAGATGCTTGCAGTGAAAGGACTATTCATGGCTTCTCAAGCATGGCCCAGGTTTGTGGATGGAGTGTCAGCAAGGAGCAGTTCCCTGACAAGCAAACAAGCTGACGGTGTTTAGAAACTCCCTTAGAGACATGGGTCCTTTGTTTTGTTTCTCACTCCACAACATGACAAAGAGGAAAAATATAGGTGGAGCTGATGTAAACTAGGGAAAACATACCGAGATCTTCCTTCAGTTTGCATCCTGGGAACATGAAGGACATGGTCATAAAGATGATGAAGAGCATGCTCCTTCTCCTCATTTTGCTGGGAGTAGTATCTGGTAAGAACATGATTTCATTACACTGCTAAAATTAGAACACTGTTGGCTGTTATACTTTCTCTTGGGAGCTTTATAATACATATTTAGGGATCAGACACGAATGGAAAAAATCAAGTAACAATTATTTTCCTACTGAAATAGATTGAGCTCTGTGGTTACGGCAGTATAATGAAGAAGAGAATATGACTCTGTGCCAAGACACTTTGCTGGATGAAGTACTTCGTGTGCTGTAGCCACTGCTCAGTGTGACAGTGTTGGAGTGGGAAAGGAGGTCAGCTCTCCAAGAAACAATACCTAGTATTAATACTCCAGTATTTTCCTTTCAAATATTGCTAACATTTCTCTTTGATTAAGTAAAAAAAGCAAGCAAACGGGACCAAACAGGAAAACACTTGTGGAGAATGTTAGCAGGGTAATATCACTGTCTTTGCCCAGTGTTAAAACGTGGGAGATTTGCCAATATGAATATGTGCATGTTAGCAAGTTATAGCAGATCTTCAAACTGCAGTCTTGGTGTTGCTTGTAGTAAGCTAGCTGCTCAGGTAGGGTCACTTTGCTCTCAAGGAATTGAGAGTTCTGCCAACCCTCGGGAACCTGTCAGTATTTGATGGTTTCCCTGATGTCCCCAGAACTGATCAGGACACTGCATGTGAATCTCAGCTTTCCCTGAAAAATAGTGTTTTTCTAACCTGCATGGTTGTGCAGAGAGAAAAGCTTGAAAGTGTGACTCAAGCACACTGTAAAGACTAACAAATCACAGATAAATAAGACTTAATCTCATGATTCCTTTGTCTTGGACTCAGCATTTGTCAATGTTTGGGGTTGGTAAATCTGATAAATAATGTATTAAATTGCTTCAGGCATCTTTTGCTCTCTGAAGTAAGGAGGTAAGCAAGGACTTGTGAATATGGAAGGAGACTTTTGTAAAATAAATTGAAAGAAGAAAAAGCCATTTAGATGCAGTACCAAAATTTTCAGTTAAAAATAAAGAGCATGAAGTAGGAACTTGTGATTTAGAAAGACAAATCCTGAATAAACAGCCAATTAAATCTTTAGAGATAATAAAAAAATAGCAACTCTTTCCTTTCTACATTTCTAAATGTTATAAATTTCATTGATTTTATGAATGGTTTCCATTAATGAACTGTGGCTTGCTGAGGGAACTGGATTCATCAGGTACTGTCCACAGGAGATTATAGTCAAAGTTCAGCTCCCTGTATGGAAATGTATCCCCAGAAGACACTCTCAGCCCAGTCTCATTTGCATGTGTGGTTTTTGTTGATGATGTTTTCCACAATTTATAAGAACATTGATAAAAACTCAGACCTTCACTGGGTCCTGCTTCCACTGATGTAAATCTGTAACAGCTCAGCCGAACTCAGTCCTACTGCAGTGTCAGTGTGACCTGTTCAGATTCATTCTTATAGGCAGTTCCCACCTCACACTCTCCCACATCCCAGCCTGTACCTCACCCACCTGCAAAGCGTCTCTGAGGCCTTTTTTCCCATCAATTCCAAACAGCCCAGTGATCCATGTGTATCTGGAGTGTGGGAGCATGGGAACCTCCATGCAGCTGTGGAGAGGCTCTGGGAAAGTGCCTCCGCTCTGCCTCTGAGCAGGGAGGCCCTATGCTCAGAACAGATCAGACTTTTCCACCACAGCCTAGGCTGGTTACGTGAACAACATCCCCTGTGCTCCCTCCTTCTCCTCCCTACAAAGCAGTGAGTCTTGCAGGCTGCAAGAGGAAGAACTGGAGGTGTCTGATGAAGTCATGCTGCTCTAAGAAGTGCTCCAAGAAACACTGCAAGGACAAGTGCCTCCAGGGGTGGGATGTGAGAAGAAGGGAGACCATGGGACTCCATGCTTTGTCTTGTGGACTCATCTACTGCTATTAGTTTTGTTTCTCATGTAGCAAAGGCACTGGGATCCTAAGTCTTCTCTGATCCTATGGAGAACAGTTATGTGAGAGGCCAGTAATAGGAGCAATGTCTGTCACACAAAGGCCTTCTGTGGGCTATCTCGAAAATGCTCCAAAATTTTTCTAGGGAGGTAGGGAAATAAGTTTTTTTGATAGTTTGGAGAAAAAGTCACTAAGGCTTCTTCTAATGTCATTGGAAAGTGTTGAAGCTGAACATTTTCCCTCCAGATTAAAAAGCCTGCCACTGCTGGAAGAATGGCAATTAGAGTGCTTCTGGTCAGACACTGGAACAGGTTGCCTAGAGAAGTTGTGGATGCCTCCTCTCTGGAAGTGTTCAAGGCCAGGTTGGATGAGGCTTTGAGCAACCTGGTCTAGTGGAAGGTGTCCCTGCTGATGGCAGGGGGGTTGGAACTAGATGATCTTTAAGGTCCCTTCCAACCCAAACCATTCTATGATTCTATATGATTCTATGATGTGGGCCATCCTTTCCCAGCCACATGAGAATGGGCAAAGGGAGATGGTTCTGTCCCACATTGCAGAGGTGTTGCAAAGCAGCAGATTTCCTCTTGGCATTACGTCCCCAAGCTCCAGGCTGAGCCTGAGCATCCAAGCAGAAACATGGTGTAGCCCTAATGGCCTCAGACTGGTTCCCATAGCAGTTTTTTACCTTGCAGCCGCCCAGAAAAAATAAAGACTTCATGGAGCTTTTGCTACAGTAATCACTGGTGTGTGAACAGCCTGGCCAGGCCCTTGAGTGAGCAGTATCTGCCTCCGTCTTGGCACACAGTATGTCGGAAGTTTGACTGAACAGAGCCAGCTTTCTTGGCAAGTGTTTTGGACAAGCCACCGAAGCCTGCCCAAGCAACATTCAGCCCTGCCATAGCCTCACGCTGAGGTACATTGCCAGTTTAGGGATGTCCTGATTTATGTTTTCTAGACAGTCTTCATGGGATAAAGCACTAGAGGCCTTTGTTAAAGTAACAAAAAACAAAAGCTAACCAGCAGATCAAGCACAGATTTTATTTTGAGGAGTCCAGAGGTCTGATTGAGAAAGACGGAGCTCACGCAAAGCTGTTGGATGCCACAGTGCTCTGTGCTGCTGCCAGGCAGTTTTGAACCACAGGGTGCTTCTGTGGGCTGGCAGCTCCTCCAAGGAATGGAGGTTGCTCTTCCATACTCAAAGCAGAAGACACAACAGCATAACATTGCAAAGGTGTTGCTGACTCGCACAACTGACGAGCCAGGCACGCACATGGCTGTGCTAGCAAGAATAAGAGGAGGGAAAATGGAGGAAATGGGTGCTGCAGATGGCATAATTCACAAAAAAGATTGTTTCTTTAACATCCAGCCCTGTGTGATTTAAGGTGCTTTTGATGTGATTAGTGCACAGAGGCAGCAATTAGCACAGGGGTGAAATGAAATAATAGAAACACGTTTGGTTTCTTTGCTTTTGTATAACGGCATATATGAAGGCAAACAACGCAGTAACAATACTATTTTAACATCAGCCACTCCAGATTTATAGTATAGTATAGTACTGAATTAGAGAAAAGATTTATTCTTTTGCCATTAGCACTGGATTTACTACTGTGCAAAGCCACCATTCATAAGCAAAAAGAGAATCGGGCCATTTTGTGCTCATTAATGGCAGCTCTTGGCACAAGCTGTGTGCTCCTGCTAGCCTAGGATTCCCAGAAGTAATTTTACATTCATTTTCATCTTGCAGGAAGAAGAACCCAGTTGCTTAAGGGCTTACCTGCAACAAGCACTGTTGAAGAAAATTCAGCAGCTGGTGTTTCAGTTTATACCTTTAATGTAACTGTTTCTCCATTGTCTTCTGAAGGTGTTGCAATACTTCCTACCATAGTAAATTCAAATCCACTTACAGAGGCTTTTGATATTGAATCCAACGGAGATCTCGAATATAGGGTGAGTTTTATGTTTAGCTTGAGCAATGTTCAGTCATGTGGGCTGATGTTCCCTGGATTACTGAGCACTGACAGTGCATAGTGACTCATCTTTTAACCAGAAGAGAGTTGCAAATGCAGGCTGTGGCAGTGTTTGTACATGCTGTAATAGATATGACAAATGAGTAGCAATAGTGATTATAATTTTTAATTGTTTCTAGGCAAAAAACACTTATCAATAATTCCACTTATTCTGTGACAGAAAAAATGCTATTTTTGGAAAATAAGTGATGAAGAAGGACATATAGGACCTGCTTCTGTATTGAGAATTTATCCATAGTTTTTCAACTTAATTTATATGAAGTCACTGTGAATTTAAAGTGGCTTAGTTAAACCACATGCAGCTTCTGTTTGACCACTCTCACCTAGAATTAAAATTAATTTGACTCACTTCCCAAATAAAGTAAGCTGAGTCAGCTCAAAGCCATGTTTAATTCTGAACGAAGGCTGTGACACATAGGGAAGTTATCTTGAGGTAAGAAGTTATCACACATCTGTGATCTATTTCTATCTATTGCGTACTCTTGTCCTATGGCAAATGCAAAGCAATTTCAATTACTTCAGGGTATTTTAATTGCTGGATAAATTAGCAAGTATTAGCTCACATTTGTCACTAGCAATGACTGTTCAGACACATGGTAACTTGTCATCTCATTGTAACTCACTTGTATGTCTAAGCCTGAACTGTGACACTGAAGTGTGTCTTTAGAAGATACAGATAGACACTGAGTGGAGACTTACAAAGTTAATTTTTCTGGGTATTTCCAAGGAAGTTCAGGTTTTCACAGAATCAATACAAGGGTTCTTTTCTTCTTCTCTTTGCTGACGTTTCTGGGAAAAAAATTGGGGAAAGTAAAACTGTGACTCCAGGTGGTTGCAGCTCATTGATCCAACCTGCCTGTGGAGCTGCTGCTGTCCCCATTCTCCTGCCTCCCAGCAGAGTACAAAGCTTAGTTGTGCTGGTTCTTTAGCTGCTCCCCAGCCAGACCAGTGAAATGGCCAAAAAAACTCTCAAAAAAGCCCTCTTTCACCTGTGAAGCGTAGGATGTGGCTGCACAAACACCTGAAGTGGCTCACTGAGAGGATATAACAGGCAGATGGAAATGGATATGTCCCTTAAGCTGGCTTTGCTGACAGAGAATTCATAATGTAGGACTCCTTTCCTAGGCTGTATTTTGGCATTTTGAATTAAAGCTATCCCTTCTGCTGCAAAGCATAGCCCTTTTTTATACCTGCTTGTTCCTCTCCCATGCCATCTCTATTCTGTGCAGCACAAGCATTTTATATTGCTGCTTGTTGAGTGGGACTGACAAATTAATCTGGAAGAAAAATAACCCTGCAAATAGATAAAAAGTCTCTCATTGTTTTTTCATGGCAGGGATGGTGGAGAAATTCTTGTTCTAGCACAGTGCAGAGACTGACACAAAGATGAAAATGAACGGCCAAGAAAGGTGTAGGCTGGAGACTGCTTCTTCCAAAGTGCCAGTTTATGTCCATTTCATACCACAGCCTCATTACCAGAATGGCCTTTGAGGACTTCGTATCTCTTCCTTGAACTGTAGTTGTTTTCAGGATTTCCTAACTCACTTGAAGGACTGAAGCAAAGAGGTTGGGCCAGTGAATATCAGTCATGAAAAAATTATAGAGAAAGCTACATAGAAATTCTGCAAACTAGCAGTTGAGTACTAATTACAACTTTTAAGGCGAGGATAAATACATGTGTGTCCTTAGTTCATTTATTTGATGAGCATTGGAACTTTTAATTATTTATGCTATGTTGCAGCAGATTAGTCCAATATTTTGCAAAAGTAACGTGATCCAAAATGAGATACCTCAGCGCTACTTAGTGCCATTAGATCTTTGCTAAGATATAGAAAAAGGAAGTCTTTCATGTATGAATTATGGGGTTTGTAGATTAGCTAAGCACCTGTTACCACAGGCTTCTCTGCATTTATGAAGCACGTTAACTCCTGTTGCAGCAAGCCAAGGCAATATCACATTTCTTGATATGTTTTGAGATTTCTGAGAAAGTCACAGTTTCTGAGATCTGAGCCCTGCCCATTCCTCCTCACCTTACTCTTGTTTGAAGAATCCCATGGGCAGAAGATGTGTTGAATGCATGAAAACATACCTACTGCTGCCTGAAACTACCTTGATGCTCTTAGTGATGGCCCCTTTTTATCCCAGGAGTGAAGGGGGAAGCAAGGAGCAGTGAAATTCTCAGGTGGAATAAGGAGTGGACAATTATGGGGTGACTCTAGACTCCCTTTCATGAAGTCTGCAGCTGCTTCAAGTACAGTGCTGCTTTTATCAGTAAGCATTGCTCCTACCTGGAGAAGAGGTAAACTGTGGCTCATAGCCTACACCAGTGGCAAGCTGTTCTCAAAAGCAACCTACAAAGAGACCATTTAGATTCACATCTTCACTTTCAAGTTCTCTATAAAGGAGAGTGGAAGATGTGTATTTAGGCAATCTGGCTGTAGTTACACCACCAATGAAAATATTTGGCTGTGAACTGGAGGGATAATCCCCAGAGCACACAATTTCTCCTTCGAACTGTACAGTTTCTCATGCTGAACTCATTGCATCTGCTTACTGTATTTAGATCTCCAGCATTCATTTTGGACAGCAACCTTCCCATTGGTGTTACAAGCTTTTGTAGCATGTTTTTTCTGAGTTAGCATCAGTTTTATGGGAACCTTCTGTTTGCACAATGTAAGGGAGAAGGAGGCCATCCAGGACATGGTTGTTTTCTCCTGCAGTAATATAACAAAACCCATAAGGTTCCAGAGAGCAGCTGTTTCACCTATCAGAAGGCATAAAACTTTTGTGCTTCTGTTCACTGTCCTGCAACTGTCTTTGTTAATTTGCTCTAGTTCTAGATAATTGGTTCTAGTTCTGTCTTCTGATTGTGGTGACGTCGCTTTTGCCTTTGTCCTCTGGCTGTGGCATCTCATCTAAAATCAAGGATTTATTTCATTGTTTTCCTGCATCCTTCCCAGGCTCCTCCACTCTGCAGTACTGTAAATGCACTGACACACTCCTTATCACACACACTTCTAAGCGCCGATTTTTCTCCTTCTCCTGTTCCACAGCACCCCTACTACTTGTGTTCAAGCTTCAGAGTTTTTACCTACACGGCAAATTTAATAGTCATCTTTTTCCTTTCTTGTCCAAGAAAGGAAAGTTCTGGTTTCTTTATTAGTTGCGGAAGTGAATATTGTGGCATACAACTTCCAGCATCCTGCTATTGCTCTAGACTCATCCTAAATCCAAAATCAGTGTCATTAATGTTTTTTTTTCATGGAATGTCAGTCTTGTGCTTGTACATCTTCTGTGTTAAGAGGTGATATGCAGAGCTGGACGTCTTTTTATTTTAAAAAAAAAACAAAACAACAAAACAAATATTTGCCACATTTGCCTTACCAATCTTACAAAACTTAAGGCCTATGTTATTTTTTAATTAGTTCAACATTTTCACCAAGCAGTTCTGGTCTCTCTCTCTCATACAGTGTGCTCATGCAGCTCTCTCCTTTCTTTGGTTTCCTGCAAGTCTTCTCCCAGACACAGCTTATACAAGGAAGGGGCTGGTACCTGCTAGACTATACAGTCTCCTGCCCCCACAATCCTTATTGCAAATAAAAGGTCTTCCCCCTCATGCTCCTGACTCACAGAAGTAGTGAAGCTGCCCTTGTGTCTTGCAGGGCTTCCTCACAGTTTTCAGTCTCATCACACCTTGACTGCTCCTGGAGCTTGGTGTGGAAAGGTGAGGACTTGGTAGAGACAAGTACCTGCAAGATGTGGTCCTGGCCTTGAAGGCAAAGCATTGCCTGTGAGACAAGACAGCTCCTTCTAGACTTTCTCCTCCTCAAATTGTCCCTCACACAAGAAGTCCTTGAGTTGCTCCATGAAGCCACAATGTTTTTGTCTTTTCACTGTTTTTCTCACATTGCTGCCACTGACAAGTAAAGTGCCAGCAAGTAGAAGATGATCGAAAATACTCACTGCTTACTGATGGAAAGTGTCCCTTTACTTGTATTCACTTGTATAAACTATAACTTATATCTCTTGCATCATGTGCTTATAATAATTTTTCCTTTTCAGGTTGTTACCACTGGAAATCCTGTCCTAGATTATGAAACTATGCCAAAGAGCTTTGATTTACAGATTTTCGTTGAAGACACAACTGGGAGAACTGACCTTAGCATACTGACGGTCCGTGTAACAGATAAAAATGAACGTCCTGTATTTCAAGGAAATATGGCAATTCAAAGTAAGACAGTGGCAATATTTGAAAAGAACAATACTTACAAAGATGACATCAGATTCAAAAAAAGAATAGCCGCATACAGGGCCTGTAGCTAAAGTGGTCTAAGCATTTTCCTTTAGGAAAACAAGGCAGGATAGGGACACTGTTTTTATCAGAGCTTTATTTACACAAATATTTGGTATGCTTCATCTCTGAAAATGCACTTTTAGTTTTCTTGAAGCTTTGACCAAAAATGATTTAACCATTTTGAAGCACCTGAAGAATTAGAAGAAAAAAAAGGTTTTTATACCAATAAATACGCATGTTCTTTTTTTGATGAGGTTAATACCTTCCTAGAGGTATGTATTAGAAACTTGAAATTTGGTAAGGATATAACCATTAAGTATGGATACATTTTTCAGTAATTTGTTGAAAACTGGACTGATTTGGAGAAGCAAGATAAATTTAAATTAGTGTATATTGTGTATGTGCAAGAATTTCTGAGGGAAAGCTATAAAAACATTGCTCTGCTGATGTATATTGCATTTGCACCTCGCATCTCGCATGAGAAATTAGGTGGAAAATCAGTTTGAAGCATGAGATCTTGGAGATCGTGATCTATGGTGGTGCAAATGGAATGAGGCAGAGTTCTGTCTCCTGCGTGGGGCAGGTGGGAGTTCTGTCTCCTGCGTGGGGCAGGTGGCCTTAACTGGCTTTACTTTCAGACCACTGGCAAAGGTGCAACAGGGAGGAGTTTGCAGTAGCCTCAGGGATGAAACTGGAGTGTCTGGACCCCAGCTGTCAGTGCAGGCTTTGTATGCCATGCAGTACCTAATACGAGTGACAATGCCATCCATAAAAAGGACAGGAAATAATTGTCTTACTCTTTGAGCAATCTTATCCTGTTTATTTACTGAGAGGAACCTGGAAAAATTGTACCATGAGGTGACAGAGTATAGTGATGTATTTATTATGTATTCACATGCAGACAGAACTGTTCAGGTAGTGTGCAAAAGTACGTTCTTATTATTTCATGAGCTACTGAGAGCCTCTTTGAAGTCTTTATATTCTAACAGCACTGTGTGGAAGAGCATTCAATAATTCAATATTATTTCTTTTCTGTCTGAAAATACCAAACTGTGATCCGTTCATGGTAGGTATTTGGAGGTGGTTGCTGAACCCCCCTAGATCTGGACTAGCAGCAGCATTACATAGGCTGTGACTCGCAGCCTGGGTTCAGCCCAGGCCCGCTCAGATCCAGCCCACTTCACTAATGCCTCTGAAGCACATTGGCGTTCCTGCTTCCATACAACACTGAGTTTGTAAAGCAAATTAGCTTCCCCTAGGGAAGAGGCTGTGTCATCTTCTCAGCATAGCTGGTGTCTTGCATATCATGGGTGCTGCTAAAATCTAATAATAATTAAATGTGACACTTCAGGGGATCAGCACAGCATGAAACACGCTCTACGTGGGAGCTTGTTACAAGTAAGTGCATCAGTTTAACTCTCAGCTAGAGCTGCCATAAATTGGTGAGCGTAGATGTCTCATCTGTCTAACTCTGTGGCTTTAGTTAAGAGTACCAGCTACAATTAGACACTAATTACGCATTCGCTGGTTATGAAAAAGCATCTCCCTCTCATTAAACTTTATATTCACATTGTTGTCCTTTGGGAACAACTCATTACGCTGCTGTGGGGTTCCCACTGCTCTGATGAGAAGAAGCAGTCAGCAAGGGTCACAATGGAAATTAATAGTCCAGAAACAGCAGATCCAGCAGATACAAAAGGGCATAAAGCAAATAATGTGATCTAAAGATCTGTTGTTCTGTTAGTCACTATACCCAAGGAGAGTTAAGCCTGTTGACAGGGATCCATAAAGGATGGCTCAGCTGTGAGAATTCCTGACATGGAAAGAAATACACCTTGCACTGAACTAGCACCCTTAATGAGGCAAAAATTTAAGTCAGCGCAGACCATACACTATTTATTTACCTCGCAGATGTAAAGCAAAAGCAGAAATTAAAGAGGAAAGGCTCTGAGCTCTCCTGGCAAGGGATGGGAGGTGGACAGTGAGGAGATGGTGATGAGGACCTCGCACAGGGCCACGTTTTCCTCATCTGCATAGTAAATAAAGACACAAGTGTAGCCCAAATGTGTAATTTTACTCCATACCCTGTGAGCAGCTCAAGATAGGAGGTATGTTAAGATCAGTCTTTCTCCCAAAGGCACACGATTCATATTGCAACTCACAGCGATGGTTGCCTGTTTATAGATATGCAATTGGTTTCTTTTTATCTTCGGAGTGTTTGTGCTCTCTGTGATGATTTTGGAATTACACTTGTGAAGTCAGAAGGCACACTAGGCAGGAATAGGTCTGGACAGCTTCATGTATCAGTGTGTTTGCTACCCTGTCCCCTATTCTTACCCAATTAACACTGAGTATACTTACATCCATGCAGCTGTAACGATCTATGTCTTGGAAGGAACACCTGCAGAACGCATTTACAAAGTTGATGCAGCTGATCCCGAAAATGCTGAACTCAAAGTAAGTTGTATTAAAAAAAGTCAGAGATTAAATACTCCACTGTATCTGAAATGCTAATTGCCAGCATCTTTCAACAACTTCCTTCTTTATTAGGAACACAGGAAAAAGTTTAGTCGGGAAAAAAGAAGCATTTTCAATAATAAACTAAGAAAACCCAGCCTCAATTTTTGGACACAAATTGTATTTTGAGTTCTCTGCCCTCCAAAATTAAGGGATATTGAAGGCATAGTTTGATATAGTTAATCAGAGATACAGTAGAAATTGTGTATCTCTGTTTAAAAAAAAATGGGCTTGCAAAACATTTATTGTAGATGAGAGTGACTATAAGTAAATAATTTTTTAACCTTCTGTATTGCAAAGTAAATTCTTTTAAATGAGATTGTAAGTAAATCACTTACAAGGCAACTGAATCTCAGCTTTTTTACTATCCCAGAGCAAATTGTGACCTTCAGTTAAGAAAATGTGTTAGCTGATCTGAAAATGCTCTTAGTATCAGCAAAAATTTCTGGAAAGTGATGTTTGCTTGCAGACAAGGGAAAAGTAACTGCACTTACCAAAGAATTGTGTCAAAGCTTTGCTTTATTGGCTTTGCTTTATAAAAGACAGCATTATTCAAGAGAGCAATTGCCTTGAAGTCTGTCCTCAGGCTTTGCCCAGTCAAACCACCACACCTGAACTGGTGAGGAGCGAAGCAGAAGCATGGTGAGGTTTAGGAATGGCAGGAGTTCCGCAGGCCTCCTAACCCCTGACAAAGCTCAGGCATAATAACAAGCTGCAAATATAAAAATGCTGTGCAACAGGTAAAATAATAATCTGGAGAGGGAATTTAGACAAGTCAACTGGCAAAAAAAAAAAAAAAAAAGTTAAAAGAATTGTGATCACCCAGCTGCTTTTTTAAAAAGCATTTCAATTAAATCTATCACTGCAGGAGGCAAGTTGTTTCACTCAGCTCCCTGTACCTCTGGTGTTTTTCCAAAAGGTAACACTAGAACCATTGCATCCCCTGGACAGATCTGCTCAGTGGATTTTGCAGATTACTTGTACGGTGCATGACCCTCTGATGTTGCATACTTCAGACTTTATGAGTATTATTAACACCTGCACGATCAAAGGAAATGTCCTTGAGGGCTTATTGGTGATGGCTTGGCAGAAGCATGTGGATGATAGCAGGGAGGACGTGGTGGGCACGTGGTAGCTCCCCCCCAGCCATGGGGATCAGGGTGCTGCCTTTCTCCCTGCCATGTAGGGTGTCAGGGTGCTCAGCTCCCTCCTGCACCTACACACTGTGGATCCCCATTTGTGCTGTGCAATGCATAAAGCGGCTGCTGCTGCGTACCGCTGCTGAACAGCCACGTTAACACCAAGCTGCTGCAAACACCTTTCAACCTCACACTCTCATGTACTCTGTGAAAGTCCACTCTCCCCTTCTTGGCCTCTCCCATCATCTGGACCCGTGAACTTCATTGCCTCCTGCATGGTGCATCTTATGCCCTCGAAACACAGCCTCACCCCTTCTTCTCTCTCTTCTCCTTTGTGCATGTACTTCATTGCCACCACAAAGCCAATATTTGCCTGCCACGCTGTGGCTCTGCTGGCTGGCCCCTGTGTTAAATTCTCATTGCAGAGCTGGAGTTCACAGAGGTAATGAATAGTGTGGACTTCAATGTAACTCGGTGTCTGTGGCTCTCCACTGGCTGTCAAGCAAAGCATGTACCACCAAGTTTGAGCTGCTTCAGCTCAGATGATCAGGGCTAGTGCTGGCATCTGAGTGTCAGCGTGTTTCAATGTGCAAAGTTTTGAGGCAGATACTGTACTATAACTTGGCTTATTTTACAAGGCAAGGGATAAACGGAGGGATGTTTAAAGATACAAGGACTAATTTCTTGTCCTCTTCATTTCAGTATTCACTGCTCCCTGCAGTAGTTCCATTCATGGTCTCGGAAAGCGGAGCCATTTTTTCCACAAAAAAATTAGATTATGAGAAGGATCCACATTGGTGAGAATGTATTTCATTCATGTGGTCTATTAGCTTACAGTAGGTAGAGAAATGTTTTCCTACATAGCCATGGAATTGTTTTGTTTTCTTATTTAACAGTTACTTTTTAAATATAACAGTGACAGATCCAGATGGACTCAACTCGACTAAAACAGTGAATATAAATATAATTAACATCAATGATGAAAGACCTTACTTTACCACGTGAGTGAAAAACTTCCATTGTACTCAAAATGTAGCTGTTTTCCCAGATTTCCCGCTTTGGCAGTGGAGGGTATAACATAAGGGCAAGTAAGTATAACAATAAAATATTACTGAAAACAGTATTTTTATTTTGTTATGATTCCTGTTCTGTTACTGGAAAGCTTTGCTCTCATTTCCCTCTTTATTCTTATTTTTATTCTTAATAGTTTCAAGTTTTCCAGGCTCTGCCTTCATACTAAGAACAGCCAAACAAGCTTGTTGCACTTGTTAGCGTTTGGAGAGGTTAAAGCTATGCAAAGACCTCTGGACAGGTTCAGGCAAGGAGATGAATTTTACCCTGTGTGAATACAATCGTATAGAATTTACCCTTCATGCAGATGTGCATTTCACCATAATGGTGCTTATTCATGCAGAAATGTCTAGACGTAAAAAGGTCTCACTTTTGATCTGTCTTCCTCTCCTTCCCAGACACTTACACCTGTAAACAATCCTGGCGATCTTTGAAACATTGTCATCTCCGACTGTGTCATAAGCAGGAAATTGTTTCATAACACACGTTGGAAATAGCTTATGAAGACTAGTGGAGTTTTAGTTGGAATCTGGAATATTGTTGAAAATTTGGAAAAATTAGAAAGAATGCCACCAGTGGGGTGTTTTGCAGTGGAAAGCACAACAGACAATTGTTTCTGAAGCAGGAGCTTGACATTAGAGTTGATCTGATTCTGCTGTTGACACTACAGGCCAAAAAGAACAGCTCAATTTGTAAAGAACTTTAGATTAAATTACACTTCATGAGCTGTCCTTGCAATGCACATGTATGGCCTCTCCCCTGCCAAAATGTGAGCTGCAGGCTGGGGCTATGTACTTTCTGACACTATAATAATTAGTGCTGGGATGGGAGCTGGGAAAACTTGATGAGTTAGCAAACCTTCTTTATATTCTCCTGATCAAAGCTGTCAAGAACAGAGTTTCAAAGGGTCTTTTTAATTGTTCCCATAGTATATGCAAGCACATCTGTTTTTGGTGTTCACAACACTACATTGGCATTCAGCCTTTTGAAATTCTGGCTGTTAAAATCAACGGAAAACTTGTGGAGTCAGGAAAACAAAGGAGAAGACAAGAAAACAAACATATGCTTCCTCCACAATTACATTGCAATGTCTAAAAGATCTGCTTGAACCATCCTGTAAAAAGCCACTGACAGGTGGCGGACAGATGGACAACAGGACACAGCCCAGACATAGCTGTGTAGAAAGCAGCCCCAACTCCTTCCCAGCTGTACTAGTACTCAATGCTATGAAGATTTGCTCAAAAACATCCCGTTTCTTCCCAAGAGATCTGGTGGAGACTGGGCAATGACCCGTGCAGGGTGCAGGGGGGCTGGTAGGGCTGCAAAGGTGGAGCTGTGGTGAGTTTGCAGTCCACAGAGATGCCGGAATTGTGATCCCCAGGGAAGGGCATAGGGAGTTCCCTACTTTGAGCCAAAACCAGTTAGAGCTGTCCCTCCCATATTCCCCAGTGATCAGAGAGGCATTTTGGGGTGGCATTTCTCATAGCAGTGAAGGAGATTTGTTGCTATGTGTTTTGTTTCTGAGTGACTCTGGAAGCCACAGGAGAACAAGGAAGGAAGAGATGCAATGCCTAGAGTGAGATAGAAACTTAACAAATACACTGACTCTGCAGCCTTCACAAACTCCTTCTTTACTTCTGGCTGTAAGCTAGGTGTTTTTACTGGGAAAACCCTCTGTGATTTCTCTCCTGTATTCTTTCCTCTTTTCATATGAACTGACAAAACAGTTGAAGAAACTGTGTCTTCTTAACCATTTTTAAAATTGCAAGTGGAGACCTGGAGGCATGGGATCTTCTGTTCTGTCTCTGTAATTCTCTTCTCCAATTGCTAGGTGCCCTGTGATGTTGGTTTTCAGAGTACAACAAAGGGCTCATACTTTCCTATACTGAGCATTATAGACTAGTCAACTAACTAAGTGGTGGCATGAGAAGTTTAAAATGCTCAAAAAGGACTCAGTTTTGAACCACACTCCTAATGCTTTTCTGACCTCATGAGCACCTTCAACTCCCTTTGATTTCTAGAAGCAAGAGATATTTGTGTATGTTTCGGTAGAGTAAGTCAGCCTTCATAAATTCCTTGCACAGTTTTTGTGTGCTTGTCCATGCCTGCTTTTTTATGTGGTTCAAGTACCATAATTGCATACCTGAGTACTCATATGAAGATGAAACTGCAACTATTATAAGCAATCCTGCACAATTGCCTGACAGACTATATCTGAACTATAAAACTCACTTAATTAATAGGAAATTTGGGAGCACTGGCATACCAAACAGCAGCAGTAAAGAACCATTTTCCCCATGTAAAATGTATCAGACAGAGAGATATTGCAGGGAGTTTGGAGCATGTTCATCTGGTGGGCACCCACAGGAGTACTCTTCCCTGCCTCTCCCTACTGCAGGGGCAACTCAGCTTTTTAGTGATACTATTGTCCTGAAAAAGTCCCCAGAATTCATTCTAAAAGAGAATTAATTACACTACTACTTCTATTTTTGTTTTTCTCTTGCAAAATGAAGTAATTACAGGAAGTGGATTTATAAGCTGGTGGCTCTGTAGGGAGATGGACTGCCTGACTTAACAGCCCTTTCCATCTTCAGCTTCCACGATTCTGTGAAAGTCAAATTGTTTTTACTGTGAACACGTTGCATGGGAAGGACACTTGTGTGGCTATGTCATGCTTTATGACCACATACATACCAGTTCAGCTATTGCTACACATCCAGCTGGCAGAACTGGGGACTGGGATATTTACCCTGACATGCAAATAGCCATCTCTGAGCCCAGTGTGGCCATGGCTCTGTTGCTACAGTTGGCTGCTCAGCTAAGTCTGTGATCAGCTGCCCTTGCAAACACAGATGTGTGCTTTGCTGAATTTTGTTTTCTCTTCTAGACAACAAAGAATCTACAGGATTCCAGAGGAGCAAAGCCCAGGCACTGTTGTTGCCAATATAACTGCTAAAGATCCTGATGATGAGGACTCTCCCAGCAGACTTTTCTACAGCATCCAGTCTTCTGACAAATATTTCTCCATAAATCCATGTAAGACAAACAAAAATGTGCCTTCTGACACCCAAAAAAAAAGAGAGTGGCTACTTTGGAAAAAGTATTTTTGCCTTAGTTTTAAATTGACTTACTTTATTCTGTGGCTACCCCTAGAAATAAGAAATGCTCAGTACATTATTAGGGTCAAATTCTTTGGTCAGCTGACCAAGATTCAGTAAGACATCTTGAAGAAAGTAGACTAAAGATGATTTATTGACAAATATTGTCTTATGGCTGGAAGGTGATGAACCCTTGGGTGAAAGTGAGATTAGCTGCCTTCTTTTTAATCTCTGAGGACTGTAGTGACCCTTCTGGGGCTCTTGAAACAGTTGCACCGTCCTCTCTCCTGCCTGAAATGGGCTCTAGCATTGAAGTGCACAGCAAATTCACACCTCAGCTTCATTGCTTGATTCATGACCCACCTCGGGCAAGGCCATCCAAAAGAGTCCTCTCTGTCATGCTGGTCCTGTCTCCCTGTGCTCTCTGGGGTGCATACACCAGTGCCTTGAGGTTTTTGCTCCAGGGCTGGCATTCAGTGACTACTTTGCTCCGTGTCTGCTATTGCTCTATAACTGCTTATCACAGCTGTAAGAGGTGCCACACAGCACAGTGCTTTGCATTTGCTAAGTCCTGTGGCCAGGTATTGCCACCCTCCTCTTCAATTACATCCCAAAGACCAGAGGATAGATACACTGTTCCCTTACCTCCTTTGTGCTCTGGGAATAGTGCTGTGCTCTGCCACAAAAACCTTATCTTTTTGAACAGGGGCTAACAGAAGGGAAAAAAAATATTAAGCGAATGGCTGACCAGAGCACTTGGTGCAATCTGTCACAGCTAAGAGCAGCTCTGTTGATGTGTGAGTAGATTTACAGGTGCCGAAGGATGCTTGAATGATAACAGCAGAAAGTGAAATGGTCTTATGAGCTGGAGAGCAAGGACATCACAGGCATTAGCAGTTCATTGTCCTTGATGCTCTGTGAGTGCCCTCAACACTGACTCGAACAAGCTCTTTGAGAGCGTAAGGGAAATCTAACTGCTCTCCAAGCCCTCTGCTGAGGCCACCTATGGTGTATTTTTGAGCAATGGGTATCTATCCATTAAAGTCTTACACAGAACTTTCAGAGCCACTTTGTATAATTTTAAAAAATAACTAAACCAGCCATGATTTGCACAGAACAGAATATTTTTTATTCTGCTACCTGTCCTCTGAGGTAACCTGTGCTCTTGCATGTGCACCATGAGTGTTTGTTACTTCCCTCCATGGTGAGCATCTAACTTCTGTCTTTCTGCCCAGCGACTGGAGTGCTGCAGGTGACTGGGAGGATTGACCGAGATGCCCTTCCGCTGCGGCTCCATCCTAATGTTTCAGTGATAGTCCGGGTGGAGGACAGTCCCAGCGGCGGACACACCAGCGAAATGGAGATCACAATCATTATTGATGATATCAATGACAACCCACCAGAATGCAATCCTTCTACCTTCAGGTATTGAGGATCTTCATTGCCTTAGTGCTGCCTGGTTGCCTCAGACCAGTGTGCAGTCTAGGACACATCAGTTAGGGTCCTCAGACCTGCTATAGCTAGAGGTTCAAATGGACATTTATCTTTAAGCCTTTAAAGGTTACTGTTCACTTTAAGTGTCTTAGGGCACAAAACTCAATTTCCTGACATGTTCAAACTGAAAATTTGAACTAAAACCATCCGTGTATAGTCACATACTTTATCTGTCTTTCTTTTAGATACCTAAATCCTTAGGATATCAGAGCCATGTGTTATAGTTACTTTTCTGACCCCTACAGATCCAGGCTCCTCCTTTCTTACTTTATGCTAAACTGTGGGGAACCATTCACCAGGTAAAACTTGCCAGTCAGCTCTGGAGTTTTATTTTAAACTTCCTGATCTTCTCTTCTAGATCTCTCCCTGGTGACCTGCATGATTTTTGTCTGATGCAATCTGTAATGTCTTCAGAGCCCAGATCACCTCTTCTTATAGGTGTCCTCCATGCATACTAACTTAGTCATGGACTTTGCTATGTCTATGAATGCTCTGAGACCTTTGTGGTGATCAGGTAGTTTATATTTGCAGATGAGGACATAACATTAACTCCATTTTATGGATGAAGTGTGTCTTAGAAAGACTGAAGTAAAAATGGTCCATTTTAAGTGTTTTATGCGCCTGGGCTCTGATCTGTCAGAGTACACTGCATTGCATAGTGCAGTTCTTCAGGTGCAATTACAGTAGTTTGATGGTCCTGCGGATAAAAATTCGTCATCTCAAGCCAAGAACCTATGCAATGAGGAATACCCAGTTGGTGGGTATCTGTTTAAATTGCTTGCTCAGTATCTAATAGAAATGTCTTGCATTTAAACCGTATACTTCTATGTGCTTGCATGAAAAGAATCCAATTCTTACTACTTTCTTCTACTTAGATACAACATCCATGACAATAACACAACAGTCTCTTTGTTATCTAGTGAGCTTAAATTTTGATCTGAAGAAGGCAAAAATCTTCAGGGAAAAAATGTGATCAAATAAAGAACTAGTCTTACAGAGATTGTACAAGGGAACAAAAACAGGGCTTAATGGTATTTCATTTACTTCTTCAGTCTTTGGTATTTAATTATCTTGATTAAAAAAAAATTAAATCAACACCCTCTGCCCCCATTCTATGTCCATCACAGGGACCCTCACCATCAACAGCAGGGCCAGAAATGCCAGTTTCACAAAACAGCAGCATGGTCCAGCTATCAGTTAAGGAGAAAATAATGAGGTTCTCATCAGGAGAACATTATAACATATTGAAGAAATGAATATTGTAAAGATATTTTAAAATGCTAATTATTAATTGAACGAATCTTGAACACTAAGATATCGTGGCAGCTTCTGAAGTTTAGCTGAGTTCCAGGTTTATGGGTTGGATCTGGCTAAATGTTTATGTCCTGCCCATTGTACAGGGCTGTTGTCCACCACAGCATATGGATCAGATACTGGGTTGCTTCATGTCGTGGTTTAACTCCAGCCAGCAACTAAGCACTTGCACAGCCACTTGTTCACTGCCCTGCTCCCAGTGGGATGGGAGACAGTGAAACTCGTGGTTTGAGATAAAGACAGTTTAATAGGAAAGAAAAGGAAGGGAATAATAATAATAATAATAATAAACAACTATACAAAACAAGTGATACACAATACAGTTGCTCACGACTCGCTGACTGATGCCCAGTCAATCCCCAGGCTATGGTGTCCCCCAGCCAGCTCCTCCCAGTTTATATACTGGGCATGATATCATATGGTATGAAATATCCCTTTGGCTAATTTGGGTCAGCTGCCCCAGCTGTGTGTCCCCTCCCAGCTTCCTGTACACTCTGAGCCTCTGCTGGCAGGACAATATGAGAAGCTGAAAAGTCCTTGACTTGGTATAAACGCTGCTCAGCAACAACTAAAACACCAGCACATCAACACCATCAACATTATTCTCATCCTAAATCCAAGACACAGCACTATACCAGATACTAGAAAGAAAATCAACTTTATTCCAGCTGAAACCAGGACACTTTATCAACTGTTGCCTATTTAGATCCAGGATTTAACTTAGAAAATAAATGGAATTCAGTGTTTTGGCGTGTAATATATGAAAAGTTCAAGAAGAGAAATATAAGTTGCTCTGATGGGAAATGTGTTTGTTTTAAACAGGAAAGAGGCAAATGAAAATGCAACTGCTGGGACATTTCTTCTTGATCTTAGAAATTACTGTAAAGATATTGATGTTGATCCCTCAAACAACCGATTTAATTTCACTGGATTATCTGGTTTTGGAAGCAATAACTTTGCTCTGGAGTCCACTGTGTCTGGAAGACTTGTGGTCAGTTTTTTGTGGTTTTGTTTTAGATTGTCCCATTTCAGAAGTCAACTTTTGAAGTATTATAAGTTCTTTGAATTCATTGGCTGTACAAGGAAAAAAGAATTACTGTAATGCATGTCACAGTGGGTATGATGTGGTGAATGACTGTTTTGGCTGGATGTGAACTACATACCCTTTGATAGGATGCTTTCTATGGTTTATACAGAATTTTGTGAATTGTTTTCTCCAGTTTTAAATAAATGTGCTAGATACAATTGAAAAAAAAATATCCTTTTTTAGGTATTGTGAAGCACAAACTTTGATATGGATAAACAGAAATTTGCTGCCATTTCATATCCATTTGTTCATGACAGACTGTGGAAGTTCCTTGCTATTCAGCATGAAGAATCGAAAGACTTGAGAAATCCCATACTCAGTAGCTACTTCCCAGCTTCATTGGTCACAACTGTAAAACCACTTTGAGTGGTAAATTTTCATAAAAGTGTGGTGGGATTTGCACTTTTGTTACTTTGCATGTCAAAATACGGGTTCCTCATGCTAATAGCTGCTGGCATATTTGCATTGGCCAGAACTCCCACCAGTTTCTGGATACATGCAACAGGGCTTGTTTCATTGCTTTAAGAAGAACTGTGGACAAATACAGAAAAAGGGAAACATAACAAAAAATAGGCATTCTGTCTAAAAGACAAGAGTGCTGCAGAAGCAGGAAAAAATTTTGTATGGCTTACTTTAATTTTTGATCTGAGGTATGCATGTCAATGAGCACTTCCATTAGCTGCTTCATCTCCCAGCATAAAAATCATTGTCTTTGCTGCACAGGATATGATAGTTGTCAGCCCTTTGATCACCGTGTATGGATAACGTAACAGGCTATCTGAAGTGTCTTGTCCCTGCAGGAATTTCCCAGTAGACGATAAACAGTGGATGTTTGTGCTTTAGTCCTGTTGCCCCAGAGTTTATGAGGCTCCTACAGAAAGACAGAGTTCAGGAGATTAGCGTTTAAATCTGTGTGAGCCACCGTTTAGTAACAACTTGGTTCCTGGATAAACACTTGTGACTGAACCTAATACCTTTAAAACATGTCTGCAGGCACAAGCTCAAGGAGTAACTATTACTATTTAGCAACAGCAGATTCTTGTTGAGCCAACAAAGGGCACAGCAAATAGCCAGCTCATTACATTCTCTTTGAATTAACCAGGCAAAAGGCCAAGACCTTATGATCCAAATGATAAAACCTCCTGCACTTAAAGGGGAAGATATTTTGTTGGCAGAAAGAAAGAGTTTTGAATTGCCAAGAGACACCAGAGCGTGAACATGTAGAAAAAGCCAGGAATCCAATCCTGTAATTGATTAATAGCCTGCATTACTCTTACTGGGCAATTCTATATATCCAAGGGGGAGACTACACTTACAGAATGCTGAAAAGAGTAATTGCCATCATGTGTATTGCGACTTTAAGTAAGGAAGTATAAATATAATTGTGTTTCTTTTTAATTTAGATGACTGAAAGTATTGATTTAGAAAACCCAGATAATCAAGGAGTTGAAGTTTATTCTTTGACTGTCAGGGTACAAGATATTGCCTGTCCTGACTACTCAAGTAAGTATCCCTTCTACGCTTCTTTTGATATTTTCCTGTGCTATAACAACATGGAATACCATACGTATTTTGAATATATGCATGAGAAAATTTTGCAGCAATACTTAACTATGATTTAATCTTCTGTTATATTTCCAGATATCATCTACATTTACATCAGGATAAAGCCAGTGAATGAATTTTTTCCAGTCTTCAGTAATTTATCATATGAATTTAATGTCCCAGAAATTACTAGAGGTACAGTAAGTAGCACCTACCTGATAGAAATAATGTTGTCATGTTGATAAGTATCTTTTTGCTCCAAATGGATTTTCAAATATTTGAATGAGGAGGATGGCTCAAAGTTCCAGTTCAACTGGGGTCTCGCTGTGCAACCACCTACTACCCTTAAACAGACACAAATGGCAACAACTCCAATTGTACAGATGGAAGCTGAGACATAGACAAATTCAGCAACTGCTGAATTCAGAAATCCACTGAACTCAGATGTCTTGTTTTAGACTGTCTTTCTGCTCTCACTAAATTAGCCTTTTGGAGGGACTGTGATGGTGCAAAGAAACTGCTATAGACTGATGAGTGAGGACTCCCTTAGCCCAGGCATGGTGCTCTAAGACCCAACTCACCTTGGGTATAGTGGGTACTCTGGAGATGGGACTGCTCGGAGAGGGAGGCTTTGCTCAGCCAGATGGCAGCCAGAGCAGCTCCTCGTGCCCAGAGCCAGGGTCCTTCCCGTTCCTGCAACAGCCCAGGACTAGTGGCTGACAGTGTGGACTTAAAACTAAATTTGCTGAAACTGTTCACATGTTTGACTCCTATCTCAGCACCCTTCCTGTCCCCTGGTGAGTCCTGCATCTTGTGAGTCTGCAAAGCAGTGCCATGGCATCTTGCTTCCTTGGTAATCCTCATGTGCCCAGTGCAATGGCCAGCCTGCTCTGTGCTGTGCTGCTTGGGGCACAGAGTTGACATGGGAATGGCATCTTCTCCAGCTTCAGCCTCTCCCTCGTATGACCCAATGTACTAAACACAGGCCTTCTGTCCCAGGACTTCACTTTCTGGCTTTATCCTGTTGGCTGATAAAAAATTGAGAGGTCCTTTAGATACATGCTGGGTAAATCTTAGCCCTCATTCTGGACTTCCTAGGGTCACAGAAAAACCGAAGATGTAAGAGACCTCTGGGGGTATCAAGTCCAAAAGTGAAGCTAGTTTCAAAGTTATAACAGGTTGCTCAGGGCCTCGTCCAGTTGAATTTTGAAAAATCTCCAAGGATGGAGACTCCACAGTCTGTCCAAGCCTCCGCTCCTGCTGAGCAACTTTAATTCCATGTAATTTTACCTTGCACCCATCTGGAATTTCCTGTGTTGCAGCTTGTGTCTGTTCTCCGTTGCCCTTTCACTGTTCCATTCTGAGAAGAGTGCATCACCTTGGTCTTCTGTATTATTGCCTTTTAGGTAGTGGAGCAAAGCAACTAAATCCCCCCTTTGCCTTCCCTTCTCCAGCCTGATCAAAC